TTTTTTTTTTTTTTTTTTAAGATGACTGGTAATGGGATCTTAACCCTTGACTTGGTGTTGTCAGCACCACGCTCTCCCAAGTAAGCAAACCGGACATCCCTATACAGGGATCTGTACCCGTGGCCTTGGTGTTATCAGCACCACACTCTCCAAAGTGAGCCATGTGCCTGGCCGTCTGGCTGAGTTTTGATGTACTGTCCTCTCAGAACTCACGTGGAAATATGATCCCCAATGTGGCAGTGTTTGAAGCTGTTTGAGTTATGGGGCGGATCCCTCATGAATGGATTAATGCTCTCCCTAGATGGGGGGAGTAATGAATGAGTTCTCGCTCTATTAGTTCCTGCCAGAGCTTGTTGTTTAAAAAGACCCTGGCACCTCCCCTCTCTCTCTCTTGCTTCCTCTCACCATGTGATCTCCTTGTACCCTCTGGCTGCCTGCCACTTTCTGCCATGAGTCAAGCAGCCTGTGGCCTGCGCCAGATGCAGCTGTCCAAGAATTGTAAGTAAATAAACCTCTGTTCTTTATAAATTACCCAGTCTCAGGTATTCTGTTATAGCAACACAAAATGGACTAATACACATCCTTTATGAGAGTGACAAAAATAAAGCCTGAAAGTGGAAAATGTTTTTCCTCCACCCTCTTTTTATTCTCGTATTGATTCACTATTTTCTTCCCAGTGACCCTAGAAATGCACTCTAGAAAGAATGCACCTTTGTAAAGAGGACGCAAATTGAATGAAATTTGTTATAATATAGGTTCATGACTCTGTCCTAGATGTCTCATGAAATTTGACACTAATTAACTCAACGAGCCTTCCATGAAAATAAAAAAACAAAATCATCCTATATTTCAGTTATCAACTGCTGCACAGAAAACCACTCTAACCTTAGTGGCTTAAAACGATTTATTATCTCTCATGGTTCTGTGGTAAACTGGGCTCAGATGGGTGGTTCCTACTTGGAGTCTATCATGTGGTTGCAGTCAGGTAGCGGGTGGTCTGGACTAGATGTCCATGATGGTTTCTTCACCCACACATCTGATGTGTCAGCTGGAGTAGCTGGAAGAAATGAGGCTGGCTGGGCATCTCTCAGTCTCTTTCTGTCTCTGTGTCTCTCTCTGTCTCTGTCTATTGCTGGCCCTGTTCCGTGGTCTCTCTACCTGGCCAGCGTGGGCTTTCTCACAGCATGACATCTCAGCATATTTGGGCTTCTTACAGAGCAGCTGGCTTGCCTTAGACTGAGCATCTCAGGCGGCCCGGGCTAAAGCTGCACAGCACTGAATCGTATAGCATCACTTCCACTGCGTTCTGCTGATGCTGAACGAGTCACAGGGCCAGCGCAGATTTAAAGGGAGGGGACCACACTTCCCTTCGAGTACCAGCAGGAGTGGCTCATTGGGGGACCATTTGTGGAGAATTGCTTCCATACCCTAGGAAACTTTTAATTAAGTCCTTTCACTTCATCAGTCCCCACTGATGTCTTCATATTTTAAAAAAATTTCTAACCATCTTGGTCTTTTAAGAGCTTTGTATTTCAATTTATAGAATATTTTGTTAAGAACTGCCATATACATTATTTAATTTGATTATC